TATACTTCTCATTTGAATGTTCTTTAAGATATGCTGAAATTTTTGCCATTATATGTCTTTTCATTATAAGAGAGAGATTTATAAATATAAACAGGGTTAAGCTAAATGTACTGAAGCAAGCTGAAAGCTAAAACATATGAAGAATGGTTGCAGGAATTGGGTATGTCTAGTTTAATAAAAATGAGTAGAGTTGACTGATAGTGGTGTTCCAATATTTAAACGGCTGCCACAAAGAAGAGAGAGTCAACCTATTCTCCAAAGTATGTGAAGACAGGACAAGAAGCAACGGATGGAAACCTCTCAAGGAGAGAACCAACCTAGACCAAAGGATAAATTTCCAGAAGTTGTGGGTGATACAACCCTGGAGGTTTTATCATCACAACACCTCTAAGGTCCCTTCCAACTGTGTTATTCTGATAAATTGATATTAGTTTGCTCTAAAAGACCATTTTGCTTTCCCACACAAAAGGGATGGTACAGATTAAACAGAGCTAAAGGCAGTTTCTGTAATTCATTGAGATAGCCTGGAATTCTGAATGGGTGACAAATACATAGAAGGAACAAATTTCACCAGGTTTTAATAGATGTATAATCTGTCTTTCCTCACAGAGTAGAATTCAATTAATATATTTATTACATTTTTATACCTCCCATCTCCCCTATAAGGTGACTCCCATTCTCGTTTCTTCATAAGAACCCTTTGAATAAAGTTATTTTGAGATTATTCCTTATCCTAACCATTACATCACACATTCATTCATACACACACATTTTGAACCAACAGCATGGCATATGACTGAATGCTCTTCTAACCTACATTCCTGCCAAGAAAATGTAAGTTTTCTATATGAGGAGATGTGTAGCATGAGAGCATGGCTGATCTAATGGCCTCTTATCAGGAGTATGAAATGATTCTCAACATTTAACAGAATGTACAAAGCTTATTCTCATTAATCTGAAATCACAACACTCACTTCACAGGGGGACAAAAAGTTTAAACCTTCCTAAGAATCCTTGCTATCAAATCAGGCTTCCCTTCATACTTGATACCAGGAAACTGTTCTTGAAGCTGGTTCTGAGAATTTTAGCTCTTGTAAACTTTTGGAAAATACTTTTACTCATCTCAGAAATGGCTTACTATTTACTGCATTGGCTCCATGGAAATTTTTAAATTGCACTAGTTATTCTATTAAATGGCTGTAAATGCTGCCTAGCCATGGTAAGTGCTGATAAATATTTTTTAATATTAAATCAATATTTAATGTTACTCTTCTGATAGAGAGATTTCTTTCACCACTCACTAGCAAAATCATGTACTACATGATTTAGCCATTCTAGAGGTCCAAAACAAGAGCAGGAACAACTGATCCATACCTTGTCTTTTGAGAACATGGTTTTGGGGTGTTCGTCTTGCGTCCTTGATTGCCAAGTCAGGTTCGCCAAGGCACTAAGACACATTTCTTTCAAATCTTTAAGAAAAGAGACACAGAGAGGAGACCAGCCTCTTCAATAACATTCTATAGTCTGAAATAAACATCAGGAGTTAAGAGAGATGTGAGTGAAAAAAACGTTATAGAAGGAATTTCAACATTGGTTTAATAATGGCCAAAGAAGAGAGAAAGAGATTATACTGTATATCTTGGGAGTCTTGACTGTGTATAGAGCTAACATGAGAGCTACAATGTTAAATCAGATAAATTCAATAATTTTATGTTCCTTTTGGTTTTGGTGATCCCCAGATAACAACTGAACAAGTGCTACTTAGACTGGTGCTCAAAGTTCTGGCCATCACAGTGCCCCTACAGTCAAATGATCACCATCCATGTGCTCAGCAACCAGCATGTTCTGCAACCAGCCTGGATTTCTGAACCAATGCAGTATCCTGCAGAAACAAGACCAGAATTTGTGACCTTCCCTGTCAGCTTCCAACAAACAAAGTAAAATTGGATGCTGGAAGGAAATCAAAAGATATAGTCATGTGTGGTCCTGGCTTAATGACTCATGGTGATTCATTTAATGGTAATGGGGGACTGCAGAACTGCTGTGGCTAAGCTGTGCAATCATGTGCATTTTACCATCACATCACTTAGTGATGGAAATTCTAGTCCCAATTACTGTTGTTAAGCAAGGACTGTTAAGGCCAATATTTTCAAAAGTGAGCAACCAATAAAGCCAGGAAAGGGAATAGGCAAGTAAGACACCATATGTTTGCATGTAGACCATCTAATCTAAATGGGCTAATGTTATAATCACTGCAGCCCAACAAAGCTGGATTTGGGGTTTTAAAAACCCAGTTTCCTCTGCATCTAGAAAGCCTCTGAAAACAGGTGTAATATTGCCAGTCAGTTTTCAGCCCGTTTCATAGGTTTCTCATACAGTGTTCATGGCTTAACAACTCCTGAGATAAAGGATTAAGAGTACTGGAGATAATCCCATTATCTCCAGTACTCTTAATCCTTTATATGAAAGAGAATGAGGAAATATGAAAGAGAATGAGGAAAGGTCAAGAATAGAAACTTCTTTTCTACCAGCTTACTTGCTTGTTTTCTTAAGAAGTATGTGTTCCCACTGTGATGGCAGATGTTGCAATGAAAACTGTAGTTTGTCATAAAAGGAAGGCAGGATCTGAAACAATAATTCAGTGATTGTCCTCAATAAGTCAGATGGAAGAAAAATGTACAATAACTTTATAAACTTGGGCAGGTTACCAAAAACAATTTTTGCAAGACTCTTGCCCACTCACCCATACCTCAAGCATAAATCTAGAGGCAATATTAATAAAAATTCTGAAGAGATACATTAAAAGCTAACTCGCCTAGTAAATGCTTAAAGACATCCCAAGCTCCTCTCAAATAATAAGAGTAAAATTGTAGACACACAACCTGACTCCTTCCAACTTTAGCAATTTAGGACCCTGCAGCTCCTCTCCCTCATCAATAGACATAGATAGAGATAATAAACACAAAAACAGAGTTTGTTTGATGTTCAGATTACAAAAAGGACCAAATTCAAGATCTCTGAACATAAAGTCTTCTGGCCAACTACCAAATTTGGAGCAGCGAGAAACACTCATAAATCCGATTACCAAGGCACAAACTATTTTCAGATTTTCAGCAGAGCCTGCAATCTGAAGTCAATGCTTGCTTAGCTCCGGTTTTGTATGAGGTGCTCTATACAGATGGATTAGAATGGTTTCAAATCATGAAGTAGGTAGAGAATAAACCATGGTATCAGTCTGTTTAGTTTATGTACACTGGACTAAGAATCGGCCTGTAGATGACAGCTCACAAAAACACTCGGGGTTGCTTTTTTAAGATAAATGTCCTATCACTCTGCTGATTAACTGCACAGATGTTTACAGCTTTAGGATTATTTGTTCACAATGAGCCAGCAAAACAGCATTTCCCCTCTCAGCTTTAGCCAAGGCTGTCAAACATTTCAGAGAAATAGCTGCAAACAAGCAGCCTCAAATTTTCATGGAACTGTAAGGAGAAATATATAATGAAATGTTTATTCCATTTGTATGCCGCCCTATCCCGAGAGACTCAATATGTGAAAGATATAAATCTTCACCTGGAAATACGTGCGTGTTCTACTAAAATGGCTGGGCATACTCAAACCCAAATGAATTAAGCTAGAGTTTTCCAATCTCTTTGACTGGTGGAGGGGAGGGAAGAGAGAGGGGATGGTTCTGTATGAGCGGCAGCAACCCTACCACTTCCTTGGCTCAGTTCTGAATGACTTAAGGCTCAGTAATGAGCCATGGCCTGGCTTTGGGGTCCCCTGAATTAAGCATTACAATTTACACAGCACTACTGCCTTAATTAATATATACAGGTCTTAGTGTTCTTAATACAGCAGAGACAAGAAAAGAAGGTCCTCAGCCCCTAATAGCTTAGTAGGAAAATATGTGTATTTAAAAACATCTATAATATTGTGTTACATCATGCTCTGCATAACCACAAATAATCCATCTGTCCAGGTTCACACAACGCAACAAGCCAAAGCCTTACAAATTGGATTATGGTTTAGGGTGATATCTAAATTCAGGCACATGGGAATCACAAAAGAGCCACAATGAATTCTAGAGATATTCAACTGAATCACAAAACTGATACTTTAAAATGGCCTTCTAACATCTTGTGGCAGATGTTAAGAACTGGAAAAAGTTTTGAAAGCCTGTTACATAGTCATTTGATGCTGGTTCATACAATTAAAGTATGCTACCTGAAAAACTCTGGTATTATCATTTTTCTTCTATTAAATGTCTCTTGCAATGTAATAGGAAGCCATTATTTTATTCCTATAAAATATGGTTTTTTTATATACAGTAATTGCAAATAGTCTATTGCTAAGCAACAAAATAAAGTGAACAATCTCAGTTTTTGTTTGTTTGTAAATAACTATGTAAATAAAGTGTTAATGAAACTAAGCCATGTTTATGTAACAAGGAAAGTTTCGAATTCAACTGATACCCACCAATTATATGAAACCAACCTCAGATATAAGCATTTGCTGCCCTCTTTTGGAAAGACTGGAGAGAATGTTTTGATTACTTCTACTGAACATGTGTCCCTGATCAAGAGAGAGATTCTATTAATATGCTGGTACTACATACGTGGTATCAATGCCAAATGTTTCTGCAGTGAACCACTTGGTGCAAATTCCGCACTGCAGTTCAATCTCTCCAAGTTGTCTTCCATTATCCTCATCCACAGAACTAGCTTGATTATCCATGACTTCTGAACCATCGCCCACACCTTCCTGTAACAACATTTGCATAAAGGTAACAAAAAGCCACCAAGATTAGTTAAAATATTCTCTTTACAATAAGCATGAATGGTTTGTCTCCCTATGTAACGACTGTATCCCCCCTACTCAACTTCATAGATTAAATTTCTTTACACTATCTCGTTTCACATTTTTTATTACAATCTAGTACATATATCGTGGGACTAAACACAACTGCCAAGCCAACTCCTGATTCTGATTTCAGTATCTTGGATTTTTACCTTTTTGTCAAATCAGTCTTATTTGGTTATATGAGCCTTGATCTGAATATTCAATTTGATTGAAATATCTCTTCAAACTGAGTTCCTAAGAAAATTTATCAAATCAAGTACCTTCAAATTAATTTAAAGGGTTGAAGGAATTGCATAAATGTCTATATACTTTTTCCCAACAGAATCTTTAAATCCAATCTGCTTCAACTGCAAATTAACACTGCCATTTGGTTTTCAAACTGGAAATAAAAATGCTATCACTTCCAATCTACATACATTTATTAGGAAGATTTTAACATACACATATCAATCATGAAACATGCTTTATATCTACAGTGCAGGTTTTGTTTACACACCAAGGCATCCTTTCCACTGGATGATTCTGTTTCCATGGTAGCAGTGACATCAGCTAGAGAGGCATCACCTCTGAAAGACATTAAAAGTCATTACTATATGTTTATAACTTGTTTTATTAATTTTAAATGTTTAACAAAATGATTCTAGCATTTAGCATTTTAAAATTAAACAGAACTTGGAGATTTATGTGCTTTTGTTTTACTCCAATATCCCAAAAAGCTGTTTACTTTTATATTTACAGCAAACAACTCCCTCCATTACTAACAGGCAGGGATAACATAGTTTAATAAAATGCTATTGTTAAAAAGCTGAGAGAGAGAGAGAGAGAGAGAGAGAGANGATGAATGAGAACCTCCATAGATTAAGTTAGAGAGTAAGATGCACAATCACAGATTCATGCTGTAAAAAGTAACAAGCTTGAATGAACTTTTTTTCCAATTTAAGATTACATTTTTAAATTTGCCAGACTGTTTTTCTAGTTGACGCAACAATTATTAAATGGGGCGGGAGGTTGTTAGCCAAATTACATTCCCCAATTCTGAAAAAGAATCCATATAGTTTCTTACAATAAATAACACAGATTCAAGCACATACACATATGGTATGCCTCTTCATGTAAACATAACCCAGAAAGAATTCTTCAACATAGCTTCTAATCTTACATAATTCAAAATCAATTCAATAAAGATGTATTCCTATGAACATTTAACTGGGAGTTTATCCCATTTAATACAGTGGAACTTTCAAGCTATCAGGCATAGGACTGCAATCTAATTTAACTATTTATTTGTTTATTGCTGTAACATACAAAAAAAGAAAAAAAATTAAAAACCTAAACAAGAAACAAAACAAAAAAATAATGGATGTAAACTTAATTATATTTGGATTTATAAAGAAAATATGTTCAACTACAGAATCTGAGGATTGAAAATTTGAAAGTCTTGTTTCCTCATTTCAGAAAAAAATTAAATAAACAAACTCACCATTTAGATTTCCACTAGTAGATACAGTAGTACTCTGTTTTTGGTTATCATATGCAGGACCAATATTAGCAAGGTCCTAAAAAGAAAGCAAAGTGTGTTTCTTTAAACAAGCAAAGAACTTTCAGACACTTTTCTAATTCGCAACTGTTTCAATTGGTTAAGATTTGAAAGCTGTCAACACACCCTATAATTTACAATTCCTGTTCTCTCAGAAAGGAATCCCACTATGTGGTGGATTTTTTCCCGAGGTAAATTTTACAAATTAGTGCAAGCAATTTCAGTCATTCAAAAAAAAAAAAAAAAAACCTAGCATCCTACTAGTGAGTCAATCATTGAACAACAACCAAATGGAAAACTTTTTAAAATAATTTTCCAGCAACATTTTGAAATGTGCATCTTTGGCCTGCGAGAAAGAAATAGTCTATGTGCGGATGTCTACCCCCAGGTTTCAAGGAAGGACATTGTGTCCTACTACCTACCAGTGAAAGGTGTTGCTTCCGCTCAAATGGTTGTTTTCTCTTTCTCCCCAAAACTGTAATCTTCTGGGTTATATTTGCCCAACTGGAACTTTTCTACCTTCCTAGAACCTTTCATTGCTCAGAAAAAGTCCAAATGTAAAGTCTTACTCGGTATTATCTATATTTAGATAATACCCGTGATGAAATTTTGCCAGCATACTGGAATAGGTTCTATATCACTGAAATTACCTGGTCTAAGAGTCCAAATTTGGGGTAATCTTCTTCTGGATCTTTGCTACCTGGATCTGGATGCTCTTTT